AACAGTACAGTAAGATCTATCATTCACAAATTATCGTAGGTAGGTGGTAATTGCGAGCAAGGTTCGTGTCACATAACGTAGGTAGTAACGACACCACGTGGTTCCGATGCTTACACGCATATCTGTAGCAGCGGGGTATAAAGAGTACAAACGGAATTCAGCTTCGTCTTCTTCAGCTCGTTGAATTTATAAAATGGTTTCACATTTTGTCAGATTGGCAAAAGTGTAAGAACTTTAGGCAAGCTTCTCTGTTTCGTGGAGAGGTTCAGGACCAGTTCTGCCCTACTAACTGAGATTTATTTATTGAAAGGGCCACTTGGTGACCGCCATCAAGAGGTTACAAGCACGAAAACCAATAATAGCAACATTTATGAACGCTCTCTCTTGACAAAAACGGTACTGATGCGTGGTTTTTACAAAACCTAAACAGCATGTATAGGTTACAAATACGTGCATGGCAATCGTCGGGTCACGCTGAAAGGCGCACAATCAAAATTTAACGTGTTAATGCCTACATTAAGCTCTGGTTAAGACACAGCATTGCGCATGCTCCTCCTAATAACCACAGAACACAAGATACTAAGGTGACTGAAACGTGGAAGAAGGTTAAAGACGACGAACCCACCGCAAGCCCTAAGGATGGGGGTGCTTTGTCACACAGAAAATAATCAACAAATGAAACCCAGCACTGTCTTAGTAGAACGGAAAGATATTCCTATGTCTGCTCTGGACGATTGTATTGATGATGTAATCAGTCCTTTCAAGGTCTATGACAGCGGATTACGCTTTACTTTTGAGAAACCAGAAAATGACATCCTTCAGGTTTTAAATGTATCCTTGCATTTGCATGAAGCTTGTATATGCTATATATACAATCTGTGCTCTGCAGAAGGGTTTCTTCAGTATGATAGCGTTCCTTCTAAAGCTATAAAAAGAGGGGTCGCTATAACTTGTCTTGGCGTGTCGTTCAAAAACTCTTCTACGCCCTCTGTGCAACCAACTTTTTCCTCCAAAAGTACGCATCTTTTGCGTTCAGAATACCGGCGTTAGCAATTGCTTCCCTGTGTGAGAAGTTGCTGCATACAATAGAACACCCTCATAAAATGCACAACAAGAAAAAAAAGAGAGTACAGACCATCTAGTACCTAAATAAATTATCACAAAAGAAAACAATGTAGCATCAAGATACCCAGTCAATGTTGTAGTTTTTTTTTTTGCCCCTCAGTATGCAAACTGTGTTTCCTAATGGACAGGATGCCTCAGTTGCGTGAGAAGAAGCACAGAATCAAGCTCACTGATAGCCAGTCTTATGTCATTTATGAAATTACACTTTGCTGCGGGCGTATATACATCGGCCGAATGGAGGCCGATGTTTCACTGACAGGGCACGAGAACATAGGTTGAATGTGCAAAATGATTCGAGAGAGCACCTGACAGACCACTGTCACAGGTGAGGGTGGGCACGAGAGCTTAAAAAAAAGCAGGATTCAAAAATGAGTGAGCGAAAAATTGGAGAAAGAAATAACGCAGGCGTTTCTTATCAACATAGGTGGCGGTCGATGTATCAGTGAGCCTTCCATATTTCTCTCCAAAGATGAGATAGCATTTTTGAAAGGCCATGTATGAGTAACCTTTAAAATTTAGCTTCAAAAAAACAGGGCTCAGTTTTATTTGTTGATTATCTCAGGTATTGAGCATCCTCGTTCTTCCAGTTTTGCTGTGAGTTCATCGTATTTAACCAGCTGCTGCATTTCAGTCACCTTTATATCTATGTTTTCTGTGGTGATTGTGAGGAGCATGCGCGATGCAGTGTCTTAACGAAACCTGTATGTGTGAAGTACCATGTTGAACTATTTTTATGGTGGCGGAATCGCTGTAGGTCTGTGTGTTCAAATTCGGGTGCATGTTAAAAAACCTCAGGTAGACAAAATTTCCGGAGCCCTCCACTACGTCGTCTCTGATATTCATATGGTGCTTTTGAGACGTTCAACCCCACATATCAAAAACATGTTGAACTGTGATAGCGTGTCTTTTAGTGTGATTCGACATTTGTCAAGCACGTTTGTATAATCTACGCATGCTGTACCGGTAGCTTTGTGCCAGTTCTGGTTTTGTTAAGAGATAACGTTCCTGATTGTTGCAATTGCTGGTTTTTGTGCGTGTGGCCTATTGATGGTGGGGACATGTGCCGCTAATATAACGCACTTTCGTCGAATAAATTTCAATGATGATGATGATGATTATTATTATGATACTGATATGTGGGGTTTAACGTCGCAAAACCACCATATGAATATGAGAGACGCCGTAGTGGAAGGCTCCGGAAATTTCGACCACCCAGGGTTCTTTAATGTGCACACAAATCTGAGCACACGGGCCTACAACATTTCCGCCTCCATCGGAAATGCAGCCGCCGCAGCCGGGATTTCATCCCGTGACCTGCGGGTCAGCAGCCGAGTACCTTAGCCACTAGACCACCGCGGTGGGGCCGTCGAATAAATTTCAGTTTTCAGTGCAGCACTGGTCTGGTTGCACTGTCTTTCGTCCTGTCTTTAGTGCTGATTTATTTTGCAAACGACGCTTCAAATTGCTAAGAACAATGAAATGAAGAGCTTGTTACTTAAAGATAGTACGCAGCCTAGCCTTCGCACTGAGGTCAAAATAGAACTTTAGCGTGTCAGGCTATACCAGAATACCACACGAAAGCACACCGATGAGCACTGGTAGAGTGACCACGTAAGCGTGTGGCCAATGGCACTGTCAGTGCCGCATAACAGCTATTCTTGTAAACTTTGCACATGCTATAGGCATGTGCTCTGCAAGGCACTCTTTCCACCGTGCGCAACACTTCATCCATTCGCTTGTTCGTCGTCTGCTAGCCGCATGCTTATCTGCTAAACTGATGCATCCGGCATTTTAAGTTATTTCCTTCTTTGCAGTTTTCTTCAATAAATATTTTAGGTGTAAATTGTTTTATACTCATCTTTACATTTATGCACCAAATCTTAATCCAGATGGTCCTTAAAATGCATGACGCACCAGCTTACGGTTAGCCGAAGAAGAACGAGCGCATACTTGAAGGGATGCGTGGTGGAAAGAGTGTATCGCAGAGCACATGCTGCGCTTTTGCAATGTTTCCAACGATGGTTGTCACGCGGTGCTGGCAGTGCCGTCGACCACGCACTCGCGTGTTCACCCTAACATTGCTCATCGCTGTACACCATGCGTAGTCGTAAAACGGCACTAAAGAATGGTGAAACTGTGGCACGGTTCATGCGTTTTGTGACATGCGAGGGAGCAGCAACAGCGACTTCAAATGCCAGTGTGTGTGTGTGTGTGTGTGTGTGTGTGTGTGTGTGTGTGTGTGTGTGTGTGTGTGTGTGTTATCGCGTAACTGAAGACAGCGCATTAATTGTCATTGTTAATGAAGGTACGCGTTAGGCGCAAGCCACTCGTTCCTTAACGTAGCTCCCGAATAAGTGACGACGACTCATTAACTATCAGTTCGCGCGCCACTTGCTCTACGCGCCGTTCTCGCCATTCGTGAAAAAGCCGAATATCTACTATACAGAACGAAAAACTTTCGTAGAAGCTTTTTGTGATGATTTTTTCCTATATAGTTTCCGCTTGCTTCAGCTGCGCATTGTAAGTCTCGTTCGATTGGTATTACAGCGGGATTGTAAATCTAGTGTAAAATTTAGTTTACTGGCGTCCGTCCAACTAGTGCTTTCTTGCAATTTCAATTTGACTACACAGAAAGTAAAACAATATGGTTAACAACCATTGTACGTGTCAAGTGTTTTTATAAATTGACTTGACACTTCTAGCCACCTATTAGCAAAAAATAAGTGATATCACCCGCAACCATTGCTTGAACTTATTCATGCTTCATGATCTATGAAGTATACCGTGGCCAATTTTTTCGACGCTTGATTGAAGCAATCCAAGACTGTGTAAATATCAAATACTGGAAGTCAGTGGCAACTTGAATACGTTTTCTTACCGCAGGTAAGGATATGAACAAGAAAATGTCCGCAAGGACGCACGCGTTTTCTTTTGTCCGGTTTATTTTTAGAAGTACACATTGCTAGGCGGATTTTTTTTTTAATGGCGCCAGGAAAACCCTGTCAAGCTGCTACACTACAAGTTCGCACATCTGCTCTCGTCAGTGGCGAATCTTCATTCGCCTAAGATCCAGCTCTTGTGTACGAACATGCATGAGGCTAAACAAGAAACCAATCCAAATTCTTAACACAAGCTTTGCAGTTTAAAAACAATTATTGTTATGACAGAGATCGAATCGCCTACCACCACTTGAACGCTGCTGTCAACGAACAAGCTTCCTCACCAGAGGCCAGCAATGCGACCGGGAAAAGATAACTTAATTATTTTATATGCGAAGTGTTATAAATATCATTATAGAGTCTACTCTGTAGGAGCGAATTACTCTTACATGGATGTCAATTTTTCCTTTCTAATTATTCATTCTCCGAATGGCAGCCTCATACAAACCTGCTTCAACTTCCCTGGCCCATTTACAGATTAAAGCGAATGCCCTGAAAGTGAACGCGCAATAGACTTTCACTCCGGTCAAATCTCTAATTGCACCTAATACAATAATACTAAGGATAACCACTGCCACATCCAGTCACACTTGCCGATGCTGAACATCATGCTGAGCGCGTAGCGCTTTGAGAGGAGGAGTAGCTTTGTTTGGTGCCAGTACAGAGTTCGATGGCTCGTCCCTGTGCCTAAGCGGCGGTGGAGGTCACTTTTGGGCATGCAAAATGCATCTAGTCGAATTATGCTGTGTATATACCGTTGCGCTTTCTTCAAACACTGCGGCTACTGCCAGTTGCAATCTAGTTCAGTTACCCGTAAAAGAATATATGCACTTACACGCCTCCACTCACGTCACCCCCTTTCAAAACAAGAAGCCTCCCACTTCCACTCTGTTCACCCTCGTGCCGGCAGGGTTCATTCAGTCACCGCAGGCTTACCTAATATCCGCTGTTCCAACCGTCACGGAGTATGTGACTCCCCACTTGTATATCTGGTACGCAGTCAAGCCGCAGCAGAAAAGTGCCACAGCGAATGAAAGCACGGAGGAAGTCTTCGGGTACCTGGGAACATGCATATTAATGTCATATATAGTTACGTTAACAAGATGGGATCGGGCTACACAACTTCATAAAGCCGCGGAAACATTCAACTCGGGTTTTTTTTAATAAGGCGCATTACAGTCAAATTTATTAATTTAAAAAGATGGGTTCGAGCTAGTTGATGCCCCATGATAACTTACTTCTTCACCAAAATGTTTAGAGAACAGAAGAAACGACAAAAAATGGAAGATCCCACGTACAGTGGGAATCGATGATATGCAAAGCGCTATTGATTAAGGTTCATATGTCACTTGAAAATCAGCTGAACGCTACGAGGCAGACGTAAATTATGCCGTACATTATTTCAATGTCATGATTATTTTGTTCGGACGCTTCATTAACCTTCGTCGTCTATTCGGGCCCCACGATACCAAATTACGAATATGTGCCAAATGGCCGTGAGTGAACTGTGAGCGTAGCATGTCGTATTTTACATGACACGCATGTCATGATTATCGTGCTTAGACGAGTCGTTTACCTTCGTTATTCTTTCACATCACGTATACCAAATTTTTCATATGTAAAGGTAGTGAAACGGTTGTGAGCGCATTATGAGCGTGGTGCATTGTCATGTTCTTACATAACACGCATGTCAATATTGTCATGTTTTCACCAGTCATAAACCTTCGTCCTCCATTGGTGTCACGTAACACCAAATTTGGTATATGTGAAGCTAGTGAAACAACCTCGAGCGCATCATGAGAAATCTGTTGGTCCGGATGGAGTTCCAAATGCTTTCTTGCGTAGATACGCTGAATGGGTTGCCCGATACTTGGAAATAATCTTTAATGTCTCCTTGCAACAAAAACGGGTCCCAGACGACTGGCTTGTAACAAAAGTGGTCCCGGTACACAAAACCGGAGACAAGTAGAATATAGAAAATTACCGGCCAATCTCCTTAACCTGCGTCTGCTGCAAACTCCTCGAACATGTTATATCCAAAGCTATATATCAGTACCTAGAAAATGCAAAACTACTACATCCTAACCAACACGGCTTCCGACAAAAGCTATCAACCGTAACGCAGCTTCTTGAGACCATCCAAGACTTTTCAAAAGCAATAGATAACGAAAGACAGGTTGATGCAATATGCCTTGATTTCGCAAAAGCCTTCGATAGGGTTCCTCATAACGAATTAATTAAGACATTGAAGCAGATTGGCATAAATAACAATGTAGTAGAATGGGTCAGCTCATATCTGACATGTAGGACGCAGTATGTGGACATAAACAGCTACAAGTCTGATCGTTTACACGTAACATCTGGAGTCCCTCAAGGGTCCGTACTCGGACCGGTGTTATTTCTCGTTTATATTAACGATATTTGTTCCGACAATAATCAAAATATTACTGTTAGACTGTTCGCCGATGATTGTTTACTTTATCGAGAAATATGCAACCATAATGATCAAAAAATACTCAGCGATGCCTTGGCATCTATCGAGAAATGGTGCGAAACATGAAAAATGCAAATAAATAAAGAAAAAACGGTTGTTTTGCGAGTTACAAACAAAGTAAAGCACGTCAAAATTTTGATTATCAACTAAGTTCCACTGCGTTAGCTACCGTTAACAGATGTAAATACTTAGGAGTAACAATATCTGAAGACCTGAACTGGACCCAACATATCAGTAATATTTGCTCTACTGCTGAAAAGAAGTTATGGTTCTTACGTCGCAAATTAAAACTGGCTCCAGCCCCCGTAAAGTTAACAGCGTACTTAACAATAGTAAGGCCTACACTGGAATACGCAAGCATCATATGGGACCCTTATCAAAAAGGATTAATTAAAAACATCGAGCGGGTACAAAGAAGGGCGGCTAGATTTATTCTTTCAAAATATTCTCGTAAAGACTCTGTTACACAGATGCTGCAAGAATTAAATTTATGGCTCCTCGTGGACCGCCGTCACATAGCCAGACTTAAATTCTTGTTTCTGCTTTCCCAAAATACATTTAACTTTGATGCAGAGCAGTACCTAATTCCCCGTCAAGTGCGGAGCCTACGAAGTGACCACCTCAGAAAATATCTAGTTCCTCAATGTCGTGTGAACACATATGCATACTCTTTTTTCCCTAGAACAATAAAAGACTGGAATGTATTACCCTATGCTATACGTGATTCTCAAACTGCAGAACATTTTGAAAACAATGTTACGAAATATTTTCTAAGCGAATCTTCGTAAACGGTGATTGCTGTTTTTGGTGTGTGTGCCTGTCATCTTTTGACTATGAATATATGTGCTGTAACTTGTCTCATGTACGTTGTAGGATGTATTATTGGGAAGTGTATTTTGTGATGTATGTGATGTAGCATGTAAGTCGTAGAACGTAGTATAGTGATGTATTCCTTTTGTATCGGCTATGCATTTCTTTTTTACGCATGACATGATGGTTGTTATGTCAGTTTTCTACCCCACCTCTGTAACAGCCCAATCGGCCAACAGTACCTGGAAATAATAAATAAATAATGAGCGTGGCATGTAGTCATGACTTACATGACATGCATGTCATGATTTCCACGTTAGGGTCTGTCACTTATGTTCGCCATGCACTAATGTCATACCATACCAGTTTTCAAATATTACATGTGAACGAAACCACTGCAAGAGCACAGCAAGACATTGAAATGTAAATCATGACATTCATGGCATACTTGTCATGATTTTCATGTTATGACTACTTACTTATGCTAGTAATACAGTGATAAAAAGAGAATAAGATGGTGCGGCACAGTGCGCGTGTGAAGCGTGCTTAGAATAGAGCCGCTAGAAGAAAAGAAAGAAGAAGCGGCGTTCCATCTATAAACCAATACCGAGCGCACGTGATTATCCCGTTTGGCCGCGTCATTTACCTTCGTCGTCTATTCGCGCCACGTGATACCAAATTTGGTATATTTTGAAGATACGTGGTAATTTGGTATAACTCGGCTGGTAAAACAATTCGATCTTACCAATGAGACACCTTTCGTTTTATGGCTGATCCCCCGTGGTGGGTTGCACCAGGACTCTGAGGAATAACCAACCAACCAACCACATCAGTCTCTCTGTCCTCTACATAGTTTGGTGCCGTGAAACCCGAGGAAGACACGTCCTGCACCGAAGAAGAACCACCTGCGACGCAGCAGAGGAATAGTCCGAGCCGCCGCTACAAGGCTCATCACGTCCGCGACCGAAGCTCTACAAGCTGTGAATCCTTCTCCGGCCGATCTGCAAGTCATCTTGGATGACCTTCAAGACAAAGACACGACACTTGCAGATTTCAGCAAAAGGATTGCTGACCCCATAAGCAACGATGCCGAGTATGACGAGGAATTGACGGCAGCTCTCTCATATCATGACAAGATCCGCATCATGACAGCCATGTCCGCTACCTTTTTAACTCAGCTTCAAAGCCCGCTGAAAGCAATGCACCTGTAGTCACTGCAGCAACCGAGCCTCAAGAAGTCTCCGCTCAAGAAAGTTCCCGATCGCTGCCGCGAGTTGCGCTACCGAAGTTGCAGGTACCCATTTTCACTGGTGATCTTCGCGCGTAGCACGGCTTCCGGGAGCATTTTAAAGACACGATTCACAACAATCGCGAGCTTTCGGACACTGTAAAGTTCGCTTATTTGAGGTCGTATGTAACTAGACCAGCAAAACGTGCGATCGAAAGTGTTTGGCTGGAGCAAGCGAAATACGCGGTAGCTGTAAAGGTGCTCCAAGAGAGGTTTGGCCATCATACAGCCCTCGTAGACGACCACATCGACAGCTTACTTGCCATTGCTACTGTGGACCGTTCCTCCATCACATCACCGCTGCGTGAACTCTACAAAGAAATATGCTTTCACACCAGCTCCCTGGATATGCTTGGAGTTCAAGCGTTAGAGTACGCGGTTATACTTCGGCGTGTTCTCATGCGATCGCTACCCGAAGACATCGCTGTTCTATACCGGCAACGCATGAAGGAGGCCGAGGCGAATGACAGGGCTTCTCCAAGGTCACGTCAAGAAGAGGTGCGTGACATGATGCAGTTTCTTCGTATTTAGATCTAGAGCAGAGAAGAGAGCTCCCGTTCGAGGTGCCCACGAAATCCCAGCGCCGTGGGACACCAGAGAAGTGATCCTGACTTTCAGCCGCCGGTACCATCAGCATTAGCGCTGGCCGCAGGATCTGCAACGAATGGTCGACCATGCCTGCCGCGTACTATGCGGACACCGTGAGCACACCATATTTAACTGTAAAGAACCTCTATTACTTACGCCATTGTCATCATCATCATCAGGCGTAGTGAGGCTGATGATGATGACTACTTACGCCTGAGCTTTGGCATAAATCAGTAGAAATTCCAAGGAAAGACACACATCTTGTCATGGTGGTCATTTAGTTGTCATAAAGTTTGTACGTTTTATTTTTACTTATGTAAAAATTAAACTCGTGCGTTGATATAAAACTGAAAAATTCGGCAGATCCCACGTACCCGGGAATCGACGTTATGCGAAGCATGAGGTTGGAAGGTGACCGTGTTGCAGTTTTTTTTATTGAGCGACACGTAATGACATGACGCTAAATATATGTACAAATGTGGCTCGCACAGATATATGTTGAAGAGTTGCAGATGTTTATATAACCAGTTGTTTTCACTTGCATAAATGGAACATGCGTATTAGCAACATCAGAAGCCCATATGGAACGCTCACGCTCGCGAGGGAGCTGGCCGTAGACACTGCTGCATAAATCAACTTCAGCGCATAGCAACTAACTACAATTGATGTTAACCGGACGTGACAGCTGTATCAAAGGAGTACATATGTAATGTTTATAAAATTGGGTAGGCAGCACTGCAACCACTATTGACGTTTAACAAATATTAGCGTCTATTTGAAAAGTAGTTCAGAGACCGGGCGTATCTCTGTGGTAAATGGTTTATTGCCACGCAGAATGCTTTGGTTCGATTTCAGCTGGGAACCTGATATTTATTCTTTGCATTCCTTTGGTCGACGCTACCAATGTCGGGTATTTATTAACGCTCGCGTGTTAAAATTAATCGTGTGTGTTCTCGTCGTTCCTGGGTAGAAACTAAGTGTCAATTACCTGTGGCACATACCCAAATACCAGCAGCACATATCCGCCCGTGTGTATGTGCCACTGTCTGGTAAAAAGTGTTTGACGACGTACGCGACGAAATTGTGACATTATTCATGTTTTGACCAGCGCGTCATATTCGTCAAACGATCTTACCCTCCCATGATAATTTTGCTTCATGCCAAGTTAAGAGGGAGACCACGAGAGCACCCAAACGTAAGCGGTTAGATAGATAGATAGATAGATAGATAGATAGATAGATAGATAGATAGATAGATAGATAGATAGATAGATAGATAGATAGATAGATAGATAGATAGATAGATAGATAGATAGATAGATAGATAGATAGATAGATAGATAGATAGATAGATAGATAGATAGATAGATAGATAGATAGATAGATAGATAGATAGATAGATAGATAGATAGATAGATAGATAGATAGATAGATAGATAGATAGATAGATAGATAGATAGATAGATAGATAGATAGATAGATAGATAGATAGATAGATAGATAGATAGATAGATAGATAGATAGATAGATAGATAGATAGATAGATAGATAGATAGATAGATAGATAGATAGATAGGCAGGCAGGCAGGCAGGCAGGCAGGCAGGCAGGCAGGCAGGCAGGCGGGCGGGCGGGCGGGCGGGCGGGCGGGCAGGCAGGCAGGCAGGCAGGCAGGCTCAAAGTCACCGAAGTTTGCTAAGGAATTCTCATTTAAAAAGGTTGCACCCGTGCGTGTTTCATCTGTTGTCTAAAAAATTTGTGCAAGAAGTACCATAAACTAAAGAATTTTTTATTAATGTGTTAGGTATTTAATTTAGTTATTAATCAATGAAATCCTGCATATTCCGCTGACGTACAGGCAAAACTTACTTGTCGTAAAAACGTCTACTCACTGGCCGAAGTCTTAGTCAACCTCTCACAGTATCTTCCTCACAATCGTTCTAACCTACAAGCGGCTTTCAGTGTCTATCATCTGCCACTTGTCGCAAAGGTTTGCAAGGAATTGGTGGTGACATCACTGCAATACAATGCCAAATAGTAGCTACCAACCGTCCAAGTCTTTAGATGGCGACAATCAAGAATAAAGTCTTACCTTAATATTGCCAGTGCCATTGGAAGCCCAACTACAATGAATATTTGAAGGTCAGCGCAAACATACCACAGGTGATTGAGGCACTGTAAGAAAAAATACACACTTCTTAATATGACACGCTGGTACTGCTAGACCTGTGCGAAACCACTTAATACAAAAGACGGTGTTCGAAACGGCAAATGCTTAGGGGGAAGTAAGTCACTCTAAATTTTGAAGGCTACGCTTGAATAGCTCTAAAGCAAACGTCCGGTCAGTTTATGCACTCTTTATGCACTATGCTGCGAAAGTTTTTATCGAGGTTACTTTACAGTGATAGCTGTGATGGGCTGTCACATGAATCTAAATTGTTCAACTTGCATACGTCGAAATTATTCGCACAAGTTTGGACTCACACACTTGCAACTGTTGTGCTTTCCCCCTATCAAATCACACCTACCTGAACTCAGTCGCCGCACCACCCCCAAGGTTGCATTCAGATCATCCAATATTTTTTCATGAGTATCAATGATTTTTCCTACCTCAATTTACTATCTTTCTTATTGTGGCATTATAATTATGAACTTTCCCGAAACGTCGGAAGGAACAGGAACTCTGGAAAAACCTAATGTCATCTACTATACAAAACCTAAGAATGTTCGATTATTTCGAAAAATGCAGCATGTCCTGGTATAGTGAACGTGCGCCGATTTGATAATTCAGTCCTTTTATTTTTTCGGATTTTTTGTTTCAGTTTTCTCGCCATAGCGTCTATTAAACTCTTCACTGATTCATTTAGCAGTCCGGCCGCTTTTGAATGACTTCGACAATGCTCGCTTTTATATTTGTGACCTGAAACATTTTTTTTTACTTGGATATTCTCTAAGAATTGCGAAAGAAAAGCTTTTGTAACAAAAAAAAATCAAACAAACTACTGTAAAACGCCATGCAAGCACCCCCCCCCCCCTCCCGCCGAGGTAGCGCCCTCTCCCTTTTTTGTCAGATATCAAATAAGCGATAAGCGCCAATGAGTGGTCCGGGACCGAGACAGTGCCTTCCCCTCTATTCTGGTTGGGTTACTCTGCATCGTATAGCAGGCGCTTGCTAGGAAATTTGTGGTATGCATTCATTAGGGATAAATGAACAAATGTAAGTCTGTCTGCCTCTTCAATGATGATTTGTCATGGTCTGTTTAAAGATTGATGGTAAAAAAGTCTGTCTACTGCACTCTCGAATCAGCAAAAAAAATAATGTGGGGTTCAAGGGTGGTGGCAGAAGGAACCAACATACATACATACATACATACTACATACATACATACATACATACATACATACATACATACATACATACATACATACATACATACATTCACACATACATACATACATACATACATACATACATACATACATACATACATACATACATACATACATACATACGTACGTACGTACATACATACATACATACATACACACATACATACATAACATACATACATACATACACACATACATACATACATACATACACACACATACATACATACATACATACATACATACATACATACATACATACATACATACATACATACATACATACATACATACATACATCATACATACATACATACATACATACATACATACATACATACATAATACATACATACATACATACATACATACATACATACATACATATCTCCTATGGCATTCGACCGAGCAGCTCTCGAACGACATTTACAGACCACCGAATTCGCTCACCATGATGTGCAGTGGCAGGAAGTTGTTCATGAGCGCTGGCACAGCCCAAGGCCTCTCTATGCAGTTTCTCTCGTGCAAAGCCAAATTGTCTTGGTCAGCTGGCCCGTCCACCATCAAGGGCACCAGGTAAAAACACAGGATCAGAGCCATTGTGGGCACTGTGACTCTGGACAATGAGAAATCAGAATCCTCAAATGTTTTATACCACACAATAGCACCATTTTTGTTGCTTTTCAATGCAGAACACGTCATTGTTCCACAATTAGTTCAGTGATGTAATGCAGGTTCGCTGAAAGCTGGGTGCCTCGTTTTGTTTGCTTCCTTCTCTTAATTATGTAGATGAAGATGAACTCATATTTTCTTGCCCTGTTTATTTGCGGGAAATACTCACAGCAAGAAATGAAAAAAAAAACTAAAAAGGAGGAACGCACGTGAGCAATACTGTAATGGATAGTAGGGGAAAATGAGCGCTTTAGAGTCATGCTGTGACAGGCAGCGCTTACAGATTCGAAATAAATTCACTTCAGCAATGTAAAATGCCATTTCTCATGCTACTTCTTGCACGTTTATAGGCTCATCAATAGATTGATGCAGATATTGACGCAAATATAAACATCGAAGCCATCGGTAAGGAAGCATTGAAGAGAGTTTGTATAATCTGGAAAGCTATTCACAACCTCGATGTTTCTTTGTTACGTGGCATCTGTAATCATTATAGCGTTAAGGAGACGAGAATTTAATTTCACCTTGTGCCCTCAAGACTCTCTGTAGTCCACTGAGACTCTTAAAAAGATTAAATAAGATTAAACAAAACCCCATGGTCATGCAGAAAATTCCGCTGTGTACTATGGAATTTTCATTTTGAGCAATCACAAATTTTCTCAGAGTTGATTCTATATCATGCCTGGTATTTCAGTGATTTTGGGATTATTAATGCTCACCACGAGGTCCGTCGTTCAATTACAGCTCTTATCTTTCCCATTCAAGCAATTACAGCCCATTAAAACAACAATATATCAATCTTCAGATGCGCGCAGAGAAGCTGCATGCAATTAGATTACTCTACAGTCCCATTAAGGTATCTTTCAAAGATACACAATCGAACAAAAGAGAATTGATGTTGATTGATATGTGGCATTTAATGCCTCAAAACCACCATATGATTCTGAGAGATGCCATAGCGGAAGGCTCCTGAAATTTCAACCACCTGGGGTTCTTTATTACGCAACCAAACCTGAGCACACGGGCCTACAGCATTTTCGCCTCCATCGAAAATGCAGCCGCCGCAGCCGAAATTTGATCCCACGATCTGTACGTCAGCAGCGGCGTACCTTACCAACTAGACCACTGCGGCGGGGCCTCGAATATGAAAGGATCACCTCTCTTGTTATGTGACGTTATGCAGCCCCATAAATGCCTTTGGTGGGTAAAAAAGGTCTTTAAAACTTTTATATTGCCGCATGAATTCGCGTGGTTTTCGTGTGGAAGAGGACGAAGAGGTTGGGATTGAGCCGCTTTTTAATGCCGCATGAATTCGCGTGGTTTTCGTGTGGAAGAGGACGAAGAGGTTGGGTTGGAGCAGTTTTTCTTTTTGTCCTAGCTTGACGAGCAGTTCTGCGGAAGGTTTCCTTGAGTGAGACAAGATTGGTGACAAGATTGGTGGAGGTGCTGGGTACGACAACTGACGACGCACCCCATGCACAAGAGCCCATCCAGGAGCCGGAACACAAGCCCTGTGCCCGTGGACACGCCAGTTCACAGAACAAGCCGCCGCCAACGAGGCCTACCACCAGAGACACCGGCACAGCTTATCCATAGAGCGACTATGACTTCGCCTCAAGGCGTCATGGAAACTCCTACGTCGTCGGCACCAATTTATTGCACTGTCCAGAACCCGCTGATGCCTAGTCCCTTTCACGGAGAGCTGTTTGAGGATGTGGACGACTGGCTGAGCGAGTTCGAACACGTCGCAGCGATCAACTACTGGGACGAAACCGCCAAACTCCGCAACGTCTACGCGTGTTTGAAAGACGGCGCCCGAACGTGGTTCATGAACAGAAGTGATGTCTTGACATCCTGGCGCGAGTTCCAGCATCGCCTCTTGGAGACCTACCGGAGCCCCGACCGCCGCGATCGTGCTGAACGTGCATTGCATTCACGCATCCAGATGCCTAATGAGACCGTCACCATGTACGTGGAGGACATGACGCAGCTTTTCAGGCGAGCGGATCCGGCAATGCCAGAAGAAAAAAAGCTACGCTATCTGATGCGAGGCGTGAAGGAGCAGCTTTTGCTGGTCTAGTGCGGAGTCCTCCGAAGAGTGTAGCAGAATTCCTGACCGAAGCCACTACGATGGAGAGGGTACTTCATCAGCGGTCAGCCCTACTCAACCGGCAAGTGAATTCTGCATCACCTACTGAATTTTCCGCCAGCTTCGGGAGCAACAGCATTGAGTGGATTCGCGAAATCGTCCGCTCCGTCGTCCGCGAGGAAATCGCGAAACTACACGGGGCGAGACAGCCGGAGGTAAGCAGCATCACCAATATTATTCGGGACGAGGTCCAGCAGGTGCTTCACAGCCGTCGCCCTCAACCAACGGTTACAAATCTAGAACCACCTCCTGCGTCCACTGATGTTGGGAACCGCACATATGCCGAAGCTCTGCGCACTTCCATGCCGGTCTCAAGCCCTGCAGTCCCAATCCAGACGATGCCGCCAGTTTCAATTCAATCTGCGCATGCTGGTTTGGACATCGACGGTCGCCGTGCCCCTCCGCGGAAGTCCGATATTTGGCGTACGTCGGATAGAAGACCCCTCTGCTTCCATTGCGGTGAAGCCGGTCACATCTACCGGGAATGTCCATACCGACAACTTGGACTGCGCGGTTTCTCTATTCATTCGCCTCGTCCCCTAGTTGGTCAGAGGCCAAGAGAAATTGAGGACTACCTCGCGCAGCAACGTCTGCCTTTCCCACGGCGTCAATCGCGGTCTCCATCTCCACGACGACCCGCAGCTATTGGACCACGTCTCAGTACGATGGCACGGGGACGTTCCCCAAGCCCTCGTCGGGAAAACTGAAGGCAGCGACCTTCGGGGGCGAGGTCGCTGGGACTAAAAGTGCGGAAGACCTCCTATCGACGCTTCCACAAAACGCTGCAGACATTGAATTGACGTCTGAGTGCAGTGCGAGAGAAATGCCGGATTGTGCGTCTGAACCCAGTGGCCGAGTCTCACTCGACATTCCCGTGCTGATAGACGGTCTTCAGGTCAGCGCATTGGTGGACACAGGTGCAGATTATTCTATTATGAGCGGAAAATTGGCAACCAGTCTTAAGAAAGTGATGACACCTTGGAATGGGACGCGTATTCGCACTGCTGGAGGCCACGTTATTACTCCATTGGGTCGCTGTACCGCAAGAGTGGAAATACGCGAGTCAACGTTTGTGGTAACCTGCCTCGTACTACGCGACTGTTCTCGTCAGCTCATCCTTGGAATGGACTTCCTTCGAGAGAATGGCGCGATCATAAATCTCCGCGAGCGAATGGTGACTTTCTCGACGCAACTTGCAACCGATCGAGGCGCTGATAGCTGTCGTAGACCTGCGCTGCGTGTTGCCGACGAAAGCGTGACGTTGCCTCCCCGAGCGACTGCTTTCGTAGAAGTCACCTGTGAAGACCTCCAAGACGGTGACGTGGTCGCCGAGAGCAACGTATCCCTTTTACTGCTTCAAGGTGTGTGTGCAGTGCGAAGCATTCTGCGTGTGCGTGACGGACGGTCGCAGATACTCGTCACAAATTTTAACTTCGAGCACCGACATCTTTTCCGCGGCACCACCGTGGCCTTCGGAGACCGTGTAGCGGATGTCACCGAGTGCTTCGCATCCGAGGAAATGGTTGATGGAGATAAGTTTCTGGACCACATCGACGTCAGTTCGAAGCTTTCGGACGAGAAGAAGGCCGCACTGCATACCCTGCTGAAGGAATTTAAATCTTGCTTCGCCTCTTCATCTAGAGTCGGTCAAACACCCCTCATAAAGCACCGAATTATTACCGACGATGATGTTCGCCCAATCCGCCAGCAACCTTACCGTGTTTCGGCTAAAGAACGCGAGACTATACAGACGCAGGTAAAGGAGATGCTTGACGACGGGGTGATACAACCGTCGAGCAGCCCGTGGTCCTCGCCAGTCGTTCTAGTAAAGAAGAAAGACGGAACGCTGCGATTCTGTGTTGACTACAGGAAACTCAATAGCGTCACCAAAAAAGACGTCTACCCGCTTCCACGGGTTGATGATTCTCTCGACAGGCTACGACACGCGAAGTATTTTTCATCGATAGATTTGAAGAGCGGCTATTGGCAGATAGAGGTCGATGAGCGAGACAGAGAGAAGACAGCGTTTGTAACTCCCGATGGGCTTTATGAATTCAGAGTTCTTCCTTTCGGCCTCTGTTCGGCTCCCGCAACATTCCAGCGAATGATGGATACCGTCCTCGCTGGCTTGAAGTGGCAAAGCTGCCTTGTATACCTTGATGATGTGGTCATCTTTGCCGAGAGCTTCGAAGAACATCTGAAGCGTCTAAGAATGGTTCTGGAAGCTATTCGTTCGGCCGAACTCACGCTAAAACCCCAGAAGTGCCATTTCGGCTACGATGAGCTGAAATTTCTGGGACATGTTGTGAGTGCGGATGGAGTGCGGCCTGACCCAGAAAAAACTGCAGCAGTCGCCACCTTTCCTGTGCCGTCAGACAAAAAAGCGGTACGGCGTTTTCTCGGCTTGTGTGCTTATTATCGCCGATTCATTACCAACTTCTCGACGATAGCCGAACCGCTCACGCGACTCACCCGAGATGATGTACCGTTGCCTGGACTACAGAGCAAGAAGCAGCTTTCACAGAGTTACGGCAGCGAATGCAAGAGGCACCTGTTCTTGCGCATTTTGATGAGGACGCTGATACCGAAGTTCACACGGATGCAAGCAACGTCGGACTTGGCGCTGTCCTTGTACAACGGCACAACGGCGTAGAACATGTCATAGCTTACGCCAGTCGTACTCTCTCTCGAGCCGAGGCCAACTACTCCACTTCAGAGAAGGAATGCCTCGCAGTCGTGTGGGCAACGGCAAAGTTTCGACCTTACCTCTACGGCCGTCCCTTCAAGGTGGTGAC